TTTTTGTCATGACAGGAGTCCAGAGCAAAGGCTGCATAGTGGAGTGGACCTGGGGGGAGGGATTGTATAACAATGAAAGAATTTTTCTTTTACTTTTCCAAGAGGGTAGTGTACTAGGGCGGAGGGTTGGGCGGGGAGAAAAGTGCAACAATGACTGAATGGAAATCCAAAGTATCTGTAAATTTTCATTGAAATTAATAAGAAATTAAAAAAGGGGTCCTTGATAGAAGATTTCCCCAGTGTAGCACATTTTTTTAAAAAATTTTATGTCTTGACTGCATGTATTGATTGTTGATTGTGGGTCCAAGTAAAATGGAATAGTTGGCAAGGTCAATCTTTTCTCCACTTATCATGTTATTGCCTATTGGTCCAATGGTGAGGATTTATGTTGTTTTGATGTTGAGGGAATGAGGGATATCATTGTTGATGTCAGAGGGATCTTGACTAACAGCAGAAAATACCAGCATTGTGTTTGCTTGTGTTTTATTGATTATGCAGCAACACTTCACCATGTGAATTGTAACAAATTATGGATAATGTTGAGAAGAATGGGAATCCCAGAATCTTTCATTGTGCTTAGGTGAAACCTCCACACCAAGAAGTAGCTATTTGAACAGAAGAAGGGATTCTATCAGGGTTGTATCCTTTCTCTTCATCTATTCAACTCATATGCCAAGCAAGGAATTTCAGAAGCTGAACTATATAAGGAAGAATGTGGCACCAGGACTGGAGGAAGACTCGTCAACAAATTGCATTCTGCAGATGACACAACCCCGCTTGCAGAGAGTGAGGCGGTCTTGAAGCGCTTGCTGCAGACAATCAGGAGAGATCTCAGCATCGCTTCTCCCTTAGATGGCGACATGACAGGAGTTAAGACCTGGTGCTGAAACCAGCACTCTAGGTCCACATTTCAGCTCTGCCATGTTCTGACTGGTGTGGCGGGGGTATGTGTGTGTGATTTTTATTGAACCCCTCCATTATTCACAGTCTTCTACTGCAAATAATAATGATGACAATAATGCTAACTAGAAAGGTAGCATCTACCTCATTTCATTGTTAAGAAGAGGAGATGAGCTAATATGCTAATGGATTAAATAATAATGTTGTATACAGTGAGGGTTATAGTTTACAATAAGTGCTAACCAGAGGTCTGGCTCAGATTCACTATGTGGTACCACGGAACAAAGGCCTGGCCATCTGCTTCCATAAAGATAACCACTGAAATGCTACAGAGCATGTCTACTCTAGTAAGGCATGAGCCCTCAGAACTGAATGGTGACACCCAACTACAATGACTACATGGTTAACAATAAAGTCAGTCCGCAGAGTAGTTGCCCTGGGAAGACACAGTGGATTTATATGATCCACTATCCTATCCTCGAGAAGCTCAGGTGGTGTGGCCCCTAGCAGTCACCCTGCTAACCCAAAGGCCGCACGTACGCCTCTGGGGATTCCAATCCACCCCGAGGTTCCAGTCCAGCAACAGTTCTGCAAACGAAATATGGGCGATCTCCTCCGGTTAAGGTTTATGGCCTCAGAAACCCAAGTGAGGGTCGCCAAGTCAGAACAGACGCGATGGCTCAGAGCAGACTATAGCCCCAGCACCTGCTCAGCCCCTACTTAGGTACATGTCTCCCCTCAACATTTGTAACAATGGATAGACCTTTAGTTAGCAACGGTGCATTTTAAAAAGAAGTGACACGTTAGAAAGATTTCTAGGAGTTACACTCCGCTGAGCGTGATGCTGATTGCATTTCAGAGTGTGAAAGAGGAGAGGGAATACAACTTGACCTAAAAATCTTGTGATTTCTTTTGTTGTTGTTATTTAAACCCTCCCCAGGCCATGCATTAGTCCCTTCTCTACCTAGTTCTTCCAGCCAACACAGGGGTTCATATCTCATTCCACTTTATTTCTTTATCTGTGCCTCCTCATTCCTTAGCAAGTTCTATCAGGCCTGCCTCTATCTACATAATGTCCAGCATCCTCCACTCCCCTCTGTATCCCAGCCCCACCTTAGACACTCCAGTTACAACCGTCTTGGTGATGCCAAGACCCCATGGCGTAACAGCTCGTTCATTAACATTCATACGTCATGTGTGTGGCTCAGGAGTAGGAACAGGGTGCACTGGGGGTGATGACATAAACCACTGTCCACAGGTTTCAGTTGGCGAGACTCACAGCCTGGGAGGACTTGAAGGCTGGGGATTGGGATTATCGAGAGGTGTATGTGGCCTTTGGGCTGGGGTGCAAAATTCCACTGGAACTATATAGCAGCCCCAGACTTCTTCCATGTGGGCTCAGGGCTCCTGCATTAATTCAGCAAACAAAGCAGAAGCCACATTGTCTTTTCTTACCAAGCCCTGAAAATCTTGAGTGGTCACTCTTGTTGGACTTCCTTGGTTGAGGCAGTAACTAACCACTTGTAACTTTCAAGGCTGAAGAAACAGAGCAAAAAATTATTCTTATTATTAGTTGTAATGGAAATTTACAGAAACTCTGGATTTCCATTCATTCATTGTTGTACTTTTCTCCCTACCTCCCCTTCCCCCTTCCCCCTCCCCAGTTCGCTCTTCTCTTTGAAAAGTAAAAGAAAAATTCTTTCATTGTTATACAATCTTTTCCCCAAGTCCCCTCCACTGTGCAGCCTTCATTCTGGACTCCTGTCATGAGAATAATACCTAATCACATGTCTCTTTTAAATAGTTTTCTCTCTCATCTGTTTCAATGCAGTATTTGTCAAGTGCTGTGAGTTGAATAAGACTCCTAGAAATCCTATGAACAATAGATCTGAACTCTGTCCTTTGCTGCACCATCCTTAATCATCCTCTACACATTTGACTCCTTTGTAGCAGGTACTGCATCTGCATCTGTCCATTTTGTTCAAAGTCTTCTCTTTTGCCACCCTTCCACCTTTCTAAGCGTGATCCCGTTTCAAGGGATAACCTCTTCTAACAACATGTCCAAAACAAGTGAGATGAAGCTTCACTATCTTTGTCTCCAAGGAACATTCTGGTTGCACCTTCCCCAAGACCTACATATTTATCTTTTTGGCAGTCAGTGGGCTATCCAGAGCTCTTCTCCAACACCACATCTCAAATGCATTGATTCTTGGTCTGTTATCCTTACTCACTGTCTAGCTGTTTGGAAAGACTAAATGGGAAGAATGTCAGATAATTCTGTGGTCATGTTTGAAACTGCTACCCTAATACAAACCATGCTTATCTGGTACCTGGATCCATGCCATGCATAATCTCCTTGGTCTTCCTGGCTCCACTCTGCCTAGCCCGGCCCATTTTCCCTCTCCTTCTCAGGCATCCTTCACAGGGAAACCAAATGCAGCCTTTTAACACAAAAATCAGATGACTCACCCTATCAGTGCCTTTCTATTGAACTTAAAGCAAATCCCAAGCTTCTTGACAGCCTCATAGTTCGACATATCTCTTTCCCCCTCTCAATCTTCTTTCTCTTTCTTGGGTAAAGCTCACACAGTTGCCTCCTAAGAAGCTGGGCTATCAATCTGGGGACAGAGTACTATGTCCACCTAGAAACTTCTGCACTTTGTTAGGAATTCTGGATCCCACCTCTTTGTCATTTAGGTTTCAGCTTGAATGCCACTTCTTCAAATGGGCCCCAGATCGGAACTAAACGCATTACCATGTTCTCTCTCCCACTCTGTCTTGTTCTCTTCCTGACTCCCTGTGTGCGTGAAACAATCTGATGTTATGGGCTGTCTCCTTCACTAGCTCCAAGGGAGAAGGGACCTCGTCCTTGCTCCTCATGAATGGATAAGCAGGTGCTCTGCTGGAAGGAGCGTGTGTGTTCTGGGATGGAGGTGGACTAAGGGACATCGTATTTAGAACGATGATGCTTAAGGACTGACAGGCCTGGGTGGCAGGGGAGAACTGGCACACTCCTTTTGCAATGTAGCTTTGTCACCTCACTCCCTGCTGACTTTGAGAAATCATCTTTACCTCCCTGAACCTCAACTTTTCAGGCTATATCTTAAGTGCAATAGGCTTCTAATTCTTTGGATTGGGGTGTATATAAAAGGAAGGGACCAGCCTCTCAGGTGAGTGCAGACCCTCCAACGCCCTATAATCCTCTGGAGCCAGACCCAGCTGCACCGCCCGACGGGTCCACCAGGTGTCACCGCGCGCGCGCGCAGGGCATCAGAGCCCCGCGCCTTCCAGCGGCATCAGCGCCGGTTGTCTCCGCTCCAGTGTGGACAGCAGGTCTCACCCGGACCAGGACTATCTGCAGGGGGCGGGCCCTGAGGATCCTGCTTCACCTGGCTACCCACCTGCTGCCTTTCTCCAGATAAGCCAGGGAACGGGAGTGTAGACGGAGTCAGTTATCCCTTATTTTGGAAAGGGGGCACCTCTGGTCACCTCCCCTCGAAGCCGAGCTCAGCAGCCCGCAGGACAAGTGGAAGCCAGGCGGGCTGGGGCTGGGGCGGCGTGCGCTCTGTCGCCTTCCTCTACCCGGCCTCTGCGCGTTCAGGGTGCGCCCCTTGTCCGAGGGCAGCCCTAGGTGCCTTCTTGTCCCGCAACGTGCCGTTTAGCGGCGGGTGCGGGGTGGGTGCACTCCTAGGTCCTCCCCGCCCCGTGCAGGAGGTGGGAGCCTCGGGAGCGCGCGGGACAGGCGGCCCGTCCCCAGGGCGCGGGGTGCGGGGCGGGCGCTCCGGGAGGCGGGAGGCTTGGGGTGGGGGCTGGGCGGGGCGGCGGCGCCCCTGCGCTCCGAGCGCTGCACACTCGCACCGGCCGCTCGCGGAGAGCCCGGCGTCGCCTGGCGCAGCGCTTGCTCCTCCCTCCCTCCTCCCGCTCCGCGGCGCCCTTGCTCCCTGCGAGGCTCAGGCGCGGGGCGCGAACCGGAGCGCGGACGGACCGACGGCCGGGACGCGTCGGCAGCGCCTTCCGGCGGGCTATGCGGATTGGCCCGCCGGGGCTGGCCCGCGGGATACACGCAGCCCTGCCCGCGGCCCCGGCGGCCAGCGGGGACTATGAACCGGAAAGCGCGGCGCTGCCTGGGCCACCTCTTTCTCAGCCTGGGCATGGTCTACCTCCGGATCGGGTAAGGCCCCTCTGCGCGGCTCCCAGCAAAGTTATAGCTGCCCAGGGCGGGGGGTGTGGTGCTGCGCGCAGGCTGGTGCGGGCCGCTGCGTTCTCGCGCGGAGTGGGCGCGGTGCACCAAGCGGTGGGCACACAAAGACCCCCGCAGCAGGCCACCCCTAGAGACATAGGCAAAGGGATGAGCTCTTCCAAGGATGTCCAAGCCCGGAGGCTCCCAGAACCAGAGAACCCCTGGCTTGAGGGACTGGAGAGGACCGGCTGCTGCACGGGGCCAATTTTTCCCAAGGACCCTCCAGGCCCGGGCACAGGGACAGCAGGTGCAGCAGGGTCGCTGAGCCAGGACCTTATCCTCTCCCGAGGTCCCCTGAGCTTCCGCTGCCGGTGGCGGGGACTCTGCGCGGCGCAGGGAGGCGCGATCGCTCTCAGCCCCTCTTAGAAGCTGGGCACCCTTGGTGCACCCTTGATTTGCAGCGTCCAGTCCCTGCAGTTCCCCAGAAGGTGAGGCGCTGGCTGGATCACAGAGGCACCTACTGCCGTGCAGAGTCCTGCAGCATTGTATTTCCAGGGACACCCCACCCCCAGATTTCCAGAAACCTCTCCCAGGCGGATACCCAGGGGGATTCTCCCACCCTCATCAAACACACACAAAGATAGAGAGAGGTGATCCGAGACAGCCTGGAGACGCTCTGGAAGACTAAGGAGAGGTGGACACCTCTGCCCTAGGCGGTGTGCCTTTGGGGCGCATTTCTGTGGAGATGGGGCTTGAGGCCCAATTCCAGCTGGACCGGGGAGGTGGTTCAGACCAGGCCTGGGGCCACAGTTTTAAGGCTGGTCACGCACCCTTTGTGCTTGAGGGATAATACATGAGAAGTGTAGGGGTTTGGAGGATTTTAGGGGTTCCTGGAGGTGCTGAAGCCTTGGCCAGGTTCACACAACCTGCTTCCTCACCCCGCCCCCAGGAGGGGACACCCGCTCACCACCTCTTTTGGAAAGGGGGTGTGCTGTGAGGTCTGTGGCAGGGGCTGGCAGGGGCTGTGGGGTGTGTGTGGCAGGCCCTTTGTGTGCTGTCTGTCGCCCCTCCTCACTTCCAAACCATGCGTCTTCGGAGTGGGGATTCGAGTGGACTGGGCACTCGGCGGCCAGCAGGTGCTCCGTGAGCCGAGGAGGCAGCTGGCGGCGGCGCTCCGGTCGAGGGGCGGGTGTGCGGCTCCTGGTGTGCTGCTCCGTGTGTTTTAAGTGTTATTGATTCGCCGCGTCTGGGCGGTTTTTTCTCTCTTTCTCTGCTTTAATCTTCGTCTTGGCCCGCACCCTGCAGCTCAGCATCCAGGAAGCTGGGTCCGGACTGATTGGCGCTGACCTCCGGAGACTTTATCTCCTTTTTAATTAGAAACGGGGCGGAGGGACAGAGGAGAGGAGAGAGAAAGGGAAAGCCTCAGAAAGGACCTCCGCTGGCCCAGCCGGCCCTGCCTCCCCCAGGCTCTGCAGCCTCATTGGCCTGCCTGTAGCTGGGCCCCAGCCTTGAGGGGGAGAGAGCCAAGGAGAATGAAAACCTCCAGGGTAGAGGGCCTCTGCCCTGCTGCCCTCGGAGACACGGAGTTGTAGGAAATCTTTGGGCTGGGATCTTGTGATCTCAGGACCTCATATTATCCATCTGTAAAATGGGCATAGGAAAGAAAGTCTTACCATCCCCAAGAACCCATCTGGGGGCAGACACAACTCACTCCTGCCCTCTGTGGTTCTTGGCACCGCATCTTTTGCCCTCAGCTTTCACTGTATTTGGATGGTTCGGGTACCTCCAACACTCCAACACTAGACCCATGTACAGTTGAATCCAGTCATCATAACGACAACAACGAAATTACCATGTTTATTATGTGCCTGCAAAGTGCTTTTAAGTGTTTTAACTCAATGGATCCTCACAATAACCCCGAGGTAGGTCTAATTAGTCGTCGCTTCCTTTTAGCATGGAAAAGCTGAGTGTAGAGTTGTTGGATACTGTTAAGCCAGCTCCAACCCTATGAAGGACAGAGAAGGTAGAATTTGCCCAGGCGACTCATCTCCTGGCCAAAGGCTTCCTTCCGGGTGTCATGCTCTCAGAGGTCTTGCTTTCACACAAGTTATTCCCATGCACTGAAGGAAGGTTTGTGGAAGTGCCCCCTACGCTGTCTCTCCCCATAGTAGGAATGCCCTAGAAATTCCCCCATCCTTTTGATCCTTTTTGGTGGCCTCGTGGTGAGGAACAGTGCTGCCCACCTGAAGGCACATGGTTCAAATCCAGCAGCTGCTCTGGAAAGATGGATAGTCTCCTCCCGTGCAATTTACTGCCTCTGAAAACCCGTTCAGGGGCAGCTTTGTGCCAGTTCTGACTAGATGGGACCCTTAACCTAAAGCATTTAGGGAGCTGTGGCAGCAAAATCCATGCAGAGTTGTGCTGTTCACCCAAAGGCCACACCTCTCTGATGGCTTGAGCCCATCATCGACCGCAATGGAAAAAATTGGGCAACCCCCTCCTGTACAATTCAGAGCTTTGGAAGCCCACTGGAGGGTCATGCAGGAGAGTGTTCAGATTCTGTGACAATGAGAAGAGTGTTGAGTTGCACCGTGATAAGGAGGCTCTGATGATATAACAGCAAGTTACACCACCGCTCATTTAAAGCCCGTGAGACTTCAGTGGTTTGAATCTGCCAGCTGCTCCCTGGGAGAAAGATGAGCAGTCTCCTCTCATTTTGATCCAGGTTCTTGGAAACCCAGTGGAGGGTGTGCTGTAAGTATATGGAACACTTTTCTGAAGTTTCGCATCTGTTCACTCAGTTGCCAGTGAGTAGACAATCTCCTTGCCCTCAAAGAGCTTATGTTATTATGAGGAAGGCAGGTCCAGCTCACTCCCAGAGTTCATTCCAACTCAGAGGGGCCCTCTGTTGGGTTTCTGAGGCTGTAAATCATTATGGGAGGAGAGCGCACATTTCTTTCCCTTGGAGCAGGTGGTAGCTTCAAACTGCCAACCTGACATGTTACACACTACAAAACACACCTTACAAACAACGACATCAAAGAACAACACCACGAATAACCAGGCTTATCAAATAAACAGACTGGTGTACGGTGCTGGGAAGTCGGTCAGGGTGGCCTGGGAGGTGACCTCGAGGGCACGTGAATCATGTCAAGAGGCTAAGCTTGTGAGGATGAAGGAGTGGGAGAGATTCAAGGAGAGGGGAAGCAGGGACAAAGGGCCATGGCTGGAAGCACCGAGATGTAGCAGGAGCAGAATGAAGCTCAGGAGTGAGGGCATACCCCTGGGTGGGGGGGGGGGAGGTGAGGCTGGCACCCCCCCATCTCTGGGTGCTATTTTTAAAATTTCAAAATGACTCCCCAGTGGCTGGCAGAAAGTGTGTCCCTAATAAATGAAAGCTCTTATTATTACCAAGGTGAAGTGTGAGGGGTGAAGTCCTCTCCTTGCAAGCACTCCGTGGTATTTAGAGGACACTCACGCTTCGTGGCCTGGCTGCAGCATCAGGCTGCTATAGGGTTGGTTTGGGATGACATTGATGTGAGTAATAGCACCCTCTTGGCCAGATACCCAGGGTCTCTCCACCACTAAGGGCGGCCAATCCTGCAGACACCCATCACAGCCAACAACGCCATGCCCCCACCACCCTTGTCTGGACAGCTGTCTGCTCCTGTTCTGGCCGTCCAGTCCTTTTTCCACCAGGGGACTGGATGCTGCTGTGACACTGCCAACAACACCTTCCTAGTACCTGAGAAAATGCCAGCGGAGCCAGCCCTCCCACCTCTCCAATTTCTTTTTTCTAATCCTCCTCACCAGCCCTCCTGGATTTCTTCTGTCCCTCAAACACCCCTCCCCTTGTGCCCCTCTCAGGACTTTGTCCCTTCTCTTCGCTCTGCCCAGAGCTTGTTGTACAGGGCTCCTTCTGGCTATCCAGACCCCCATTCCGTTTGCCTCCTCAGGGAGGTCCTCCTTGATCACCCAGCTGAAATGCCCCTCTCCTTTCCCTCCTCACTGTCCTGCCTGCTCTCAAACACCTTGCCACTGTTCCTTCCTCATTGCATTGCTGGCTTGTTGTTATTGTTGTGGACTGTCAAGTTGGAACTGACCCATACCTGACCCTCCGGTGGACTTTCAGAGGCAGTTAATCGCACGGGAGGTGATTGCCCATCCTTCTCCCATGGAGCAGCTGGTGGCCTCGAACTGTGTGCCTTTGGGATTGCAGTGCAGCTTCCTGCCACTAGGCTACCGGAGCTGCCTCATCACTGGCTGGAAGGGGCCCATTTTTAGCTCTGCCTTGTGCACTGTCTCTCTCCATAGATAAGATGCATCCCCGAAGGGGAGGTGCTGTCCAACACATGAGTTGTTTTTGTACGTACTGTGGAGTCGGAACTCATAACTGACTCTCCAGTAAAATTTCAGAGGCAGTAAATTGCATGGAAGGAGACTGCTCAGCTTTTTCTCCCACAGAGCAACTAGTGGAATCAAACTATATGCCTTTGGGTTGGCAGTGCAACTCCTTACCACCAAGCCACCAGAACTCCCTCAACACATGAGGGAGGAGAGGTCAGTACATGAGTGACTGAAGTGAAGATAGGAACTCTGGCCTTAAGAGCCATCCCCTCCCTCCAGGCCAGCTGTTTGCCTGGTGGTGAGTTGTTACCCATTGGCTACACAAGGAAAATACTAGCACACCTCGTTATGTTGTTGTTATGTGCCGTCGAGTCGCTTGCGACTCATAGCGACCCTATGTACAACAGCCCTAAACTCTGCTCTGTCCTGTGCCAATCGCACTGTCTCTGACACTCCCATCCCGATTATCCCAGTCACTGAATCAATCCACCTCATAGAGGGCCTTCCCCTCCTGCACCGTCCCTCCACCCTCCCAAGCATGATGTCCTTCTCCAAGGACCAGTCTCCACCTCATTATAGTTACTTTTAAAACTTTTGGGTTTGTTGTTATTGTTTATAAAACATCACATGCACAAAGGTGCATATGTGACATGTTAACAAAGACATGCTAACAATAGATATCTGTGTACTGCTCCCCCTTTAGAAAAAGAAAGGGCCCCCTTTTTCAAAAAGTTGCAAATAGAGATACCATTTGACCCAGCAATTCCACTACTGGGAATATACCCCAAAGAGACCATAACTGACACCCAAGCAGATATATGAACACTCATGTTTATCACGGCTTTGTTCACAATAGCAAGGAGTTGAAAACAACCTAAGTGCCCATCAACAAATGAATGGATAGAGAAGCTGTGGTATATTCACACAATGGGATACTACGCTCCATTGAAAAACAAGGAACTCATGCAATATTATTCAAAATGGGTGAGCCTGGAAGACATTATGCTGAGTGAAATATCTCAGTCACAAAGGGACAAATACTGCATAGTACCACTGTTGTAAAACAGGACTGACCTTGGGGTTGGGAGGAGACTGAGAAAGATGGGTTCAATAATGTATACTGCATTGAAACAGATGAGGGAGAAAACTGTTTAAAAGGGATATGTGATTAGGTATTATTGTCATGGTAGGAGTCCAGAACGAAGGCTGCATAGTTGAGTGGACCTGGGGGGAGATTGTAAAGCTGTGAAAGAATTTTTTACATTTCAAAGAGAAGAGTGTATTGGGGGGAAGGGGTGGGCAAGGAGAAAAGTGCAGCAATGAATGAATGGAAATCCAAAGTCTGTAAATTTTCATTAAAATTAATAAAAAATGATTCATAATAAAAAAGAAAAAAGGGCTACAGAAAAACCTTGTAGTTTATATTCTTTTTAAAAAAATTTCATTTTTATAGTTTTTATTCTTATCTTTTACGTTTTAGTCTAATCAATCATTGTTAACTCCTAAAAAATATAGGGTTTGATCCGCTTTGTTTTAAAATTTCATCTAAATTGAATCCTCCTGTAAATACGAAGGTGACTCGTCTTCATTGCTTAACATTGTGTTTGTGACACGTATCATCTTTGATTCTCGTATCTGAGATGGAAACAAAGCTTCGCTAGTATTGTGTGTACACATCAGTAGAGGCACCTGCGTGGGAAGGATGCAGCATATCCATGGGTTGGAGATGAAGGATTCCTGGAGCTAGGAGGTCCCTGGGAATGGAGAGTTCTTGGCCATTTTGGGAGATGGCCGCCAGGGAGGGGCTTCAGGCCGTGCCCTCCACCTGCTGACCTAATGCTCCGTCTCTCTGTCCCTCTCCAGTGGCTTCTCCTCCGTGGTCGCTCTGGGCGCGAGCATCATCTGTAATAAGATTCCTGGCCTGGCTCCCAGACAGCGGGCGATCTGCCAGAGCCGGCCCGACGCCATTATCGTCATTGGAGAAGGATCCCAAATGGGCCTGGACGAGTGTCAGTTTCAGTTCCGCAATGGCCGCTGGAACTGCTCGGCGCTGGGCGAGCGCACCGTCTTCGGCAAGGAGCTCAAAGTGGGTATGTGCTCCCTGTCACCCTAAAGACAGCCAGGCTACGTAAGACTGGAACACCCTCTGCCCCGTGCCAGACCTGCCCAGGCTGCTAGACTAACCCCATAGAGACCTGCCCCTTGCTGGACGTGCCTCATTCAGGACCTGCCCCACGCTGCACATGCCCAGTGCCACTAGACTTGCTACTAGGCCTGCCCTTCAGACTGCGAGTGGGACCCTTCAGGTGCCACAACTTGACTTCAGGATTCCGGGTCAATGCATCTCACCACCCCTGGGGGTTTGTTGGTAAAGTGTCCATCAGGAGCTAGTGGCCCAGATGCTAGCTAGGTGGTGATGTTTTTAAAATGGAAATCCTGAACTGACACTTTGCTGTTGTTCCAACAACTTACTTTACTGGGTTCCTTTGAAGACGTGAGGGGTCCGACAGTAGCTTACTCGAGTTCCTGCATAGTCCTCATGGCTTGGAGCTGAGGGAGCAGCTTCATTCAGGTGGGACCAGGGTGCCTCTGCATGGTCCCCTTCAGTTTCTGTTGTCGCAATGCCCAGCCTGCTCAGTTCATGTCCATGCTGGCGCGGCCTCGGGGGCATTTGATTTTACAACCCCAGTTTTATGGGGATAGCATTTGTGCGCACACACATGCAGAGTCTTGGGTCATGAGTTTGATTTCTGAAGTGATTGTGAGAAAAGTTTGAGTGGAAAAGAGAGTGACTCTGTGACAGAGAGTGGCCCTGGCAACTTGGAGGCACCAGTGCTGGGAAGGCTGTGCTGTGTGTCTTCTCACGTGCTTGTGACTGGTCTTGGGGAAGGAACAGAATGTACATTTAATTTTAAGTCACAAATTCTCTGAAAATCAACCATGAGGTCTTGAGCTGAATCCAGTGATCCACCCTGCCTGTTTAGCTGATCAGAGGGCATCCTGATTGCTTCCTGTCCCTCAACCCGCCTCCCCAAAGGTCTACAGATCTCATTGGTGCCAGGAAAGTCCTTGCCGAGTCCATCCACTTCTCTGCATCGTCATTGCTTCCCCTGTGTGTGCTGCAGTCTCTGGCCTCAGCTGACTGCTTTGTGGATCCCTCTTTCCTGCCCCTCCTGAAAACCCTCTCTCAGGTGGTGACTCCCCATTTTATCAGATTAAAATCCCAAGTGCTCATCAGGATGTTGCTCAGTCTCTTCTGGTCCGTCCTCCCCCAGCCCTCACTTGCTCCCTTGGTCAGTCTCTTGCTTCCTAAACACTCTGCTTTCTGTCTGCTCTGGGATCCCAGGGCTTGCCTTGCCTGTGTCTTATACCCTCTTCACAGCCTGCACCCCTCACTCCTGTTCTCTGCATGGATCACCCCCTTGCGTCATTGAGCCCTCTGCCATTCAAGTCTTCCATGATCACCCTGCAGCTCCGTTCCTTGTGCTGTCTGAGTCAACTCAAAGCCTGTTTGGGGAGGACTCTCCAGCCGCATGGTCTCCCTGGCCATGCTCACCACGGAATCAGGGTTTCCATCTCCCTCTTGTAGGAAGGAAAAGCAGAGTCACCTCAGGGTTATGTGGCAGGTGGTGTTTGTCCCCACATTCCCTCAGGGGTTTCATGCTCCACAGGGAGCTGAGATAGGACTCCTTGGGTTGAAAGCCCCCCTGACAAGGATGGTGCTTTCCCTCACTCCCTTCCCAGGATCTTTGCTGAGCATCCTCTGCTTTTCATGCCCCTCTTCCCAACCCAGGGATTCACTGTCCAGGTGGACACCATGAACAGACAAAGGGTGGGCCTGCCCCAGCCCACACTGCTAGGTGGCAGTAATACTGAGACTTTCTAAATCATTGAAGTCCCGGGCTGTGAATGTGGCCAGTCTGACCCCATCCATGTGTTTTTGGTCTTTAGCTCAGATCCCTCCTCCTGGGACCCACGCCTGAGTTCTGGCATTCGTTTTAAATATTCCTGATCTAGAGAGTGCTACCGATGAGGAAACTGAGACTCGGAAAGGATTTACCCATATTGACAAAATGAAAGCAGGGTTTCCCAGCATTGAGTTTATCCCAGCATCACCGGTAGGCTCTGACTAGTCGATGCTGCTGGGGTGGGCAGAGGGCTGCAGTTAAGAGGAGGGCCAGCTTCCACGTCAGGCTGTCTGCATCTGACTGAGAGGCCCAGTGTAGGCCAAGGAGGACAGATGCCATCAGGATACACCAATAAGGACTAGAATCCTGGGCCAGGGGGCATTCAAGCCACCCTGGGCGGGCCTGGGGACAGCGGGCATTCCAGCAGAGATGACCTGGAGAAGACACGGGGACCGTATGCAAGGGGACCAGGTCTGTAAGGCCTGGAGGGAGAGTGGGTATTCTGAGGACTTTGGGTTTCTAGGTGTGTGGGATTGAAGAACTGTGAATGTGGGAATAGCTCACCATTGTATGGGACAAACCAGATGAAATTTTCACTTATCTAATGCATTTTTTTTAACCTATAATAACGGCGAAATCAAATCCTTCAACTTCATAAAAAGTCCTAGAAGATTGACCCAAGGCTGAGTGGGGCCCAGAATGAATTCATTCATTGTTGTTGTGTATTCTCAAATTGGAAATGACCTTGAGTAGCTGGCCCTGCAATGGGTTTTCCGAGACAGGAAATATCACGGGAGGAGGTTGCCCATCCTTCTCCTGCTCGTGGATTCTGGTGGAGCATCTTGCGGGTTTGAAGCACGTATCTTTACATCGGCAGCACAATCATTACTGCTAGGCCACTCCCTGTCCACCCATTAGACTATTTACCAATGAATTGATTCATTCATGCATTCTTTAAGTTCTGGTTTAGTACGTGTTGTGGCTAGAATGTACCTGATGGTACATACCTGATGGTATGGTGCAACAGTCCCCCAAGCACCCCACAAGGGAAGCCCTTGTGATCTTGTTCCGTAAAGAATATAACCAAGAAAGCCCAATGGAGCAGTTCTGCCCTCAGCACATAGATCACCAAGTGTCTGTTCAGTGGTGACAGCCTGGTTTTTGGTGTGTTGTGACTGGAGGCACTGCTTCAGTGTGTGATGTTAGGGAGGGGACCTCTGGACCCCTGAGAATGCCTGAGGGAATGATCCAGGGACAGTGTGTCTGAGGGAAGAGCATTCCAGGAAAAGGCAATTGTACATGCAAGGGCCCTGCGGTTGGAACATGTTGAGGATTTGAGAAGGAGGGAGGGAACTAGTGTGATAGTATTAGAATAAGAAAGGAAAGAGTAAGAGGATCTGAGATCAAAGAGGGAGCGAGGGGTTAGGTGGTGTGGCCTTTGTCAAGCTGAGGTGACAGGTTTAGGTGTTGCTCCATGTGAATGGAGAGCTGTTAGATGAATGAGAGCATCTGTAGTTGCTGATCGGAGAATCAGCGACAGGCGAGGGTGGGAGTCAAGAGTCCACCCCAGTCTTCCTGCGATGCAGTGACCATGGTGGGGACCCAAGTGGTGACAGTGGAGGTCTGGTTTGGAAGTGAGCTGCTGCAATGGATGGAGGGAGGCTTACGTCCTGGAGTCAGTTAGGAAGCCCTGATCCTGCTCTGGGGCTTCTTATGGGGTGAATTTGGATCAGAGGAGATGACGCCAAGGGAAAGCTCAAAGATGGCTCCAGGAGTCTCAGAAGTAATCTCTCCTCTCTGCATTAATTTCTTAAAATGTAAACAGGTATTGATTGAGGATGCCAAGAATCAAGCCCTGAATTCAGGCTTCTGGGGCTCTTGTCAGTGGGGTGCCCTTTGCTGAGAGAGACCAGACCATGTTGGTGGGCAATCAGGAGTGTGGTCACTGATTCGCAGAGCTCTCGCCATCAGGTCTGTGCACTGGACAACAGGAAGGCAAGAGGAGTGGACACATGGTGTTAGGTGTTGTTGAGTTGACCTTGACCCGTGGTGACCTCATGAACAGTGGATCTGTACCCTGCTCTATCCTGTGCCACCCTCATCACCTCTGATATACTCGTGCCCATTGTTACAATCACTGTGTCAATCCATCTCATAGAGGACCGTCTTCTCTTTCTCTGACCCTCCACGTTTCCCAGCATGATGTTTTTTTTCCCAACTACCTGCCCCTCATAACAACATGCCCAAAATATGTGGGCTGAAGCTCACTACTCTTGCCTGCATGGAGTACCTGGCTTCGCTTTCTACAAGATGTGTTTATCCTTTAGGCAGGCCATGGGATAGTCCGTACTCTTCACTAACACCACAACTCAAAGGTATTCATTTTCCTCTGTTTCCCTTAGTCATTCCCAACTTTCAGATGCATATAGTGAGTAATTGAAAAGATCATGGATTGAATGAGATGCAACTTCATCTTTAAACAGATGTCACTGCTCCTTTTACAACTTTCCAGCATTCCCTCGCCATCCCTCCACTTACCTAGCAGTGGCCAGAACCTAGCCACATGACCACATTTAGCTGCAAGGGAATCTGAGAGTACAGGGAATTTTTTATTACAAGTGGCCGTGTGTGGAGTTAGTAATCTATGCCTAAGGAGAAAGGAGAACAGGGGGGTTCAAGGTGGACAGCAAGTCCCTATCAGAGTTCCTCTGTTCTGTGCTTGAGCCTGAAGGCTTGCCCTCCACCCACTTTACCCCCTCTGCCTGTGCTTTATGGCTCTGTCTCTTTTGAGGTGTAGGGATTTTACAGCTCAGGCCTGAGGGGAAGGCAGTGGTTATGGACAAGCCAAGGCCTTCTTAGCTGCTAGAACCAGAGTCCCAATTCAAGCCATGCTAGATGAGAAGACTGTTTATGTGCCTGTTGTTGTTAGGTACCATCGAGTCAGAACAGACTCATAGCTGATCCTCCAGCAGGTTTTCAGAGGCTGTAAATCGCATTAGAGGAGATTGCCCCCTCAGAGCTGTTGGTGGATTCGAACTACTTACCTTTGAGGTGGAAGCAACAACAGCTTACCACTAAGCCTCCAGACCTTGCTGTTTGATTGCCTACGTAACTGGAAACCAGGAAGTAGTGTTTGCTTTTGGCGTTGCTTGGGTCTAAGGTGATGTTGGTGTCTTGTGCAA